GTTAAACCAGAAGATTGTTGTGAAGTACTACGCATGCGACTATCAATAAAATATGATTACTGAAAAGATGAGAGAAGCCTTTGCATAGGATAAAGAGACAGAATTTCTTCCACACTGTCTAAACAGAGCTACAATTAATAATAAACAAACAGAAACCTTCATTCTAATAAAGGTTTCACTATCTGGTGTGGCTCAAAACCCCAAATTGTAACCATCCTCATCAAAGTATTTTCATAGCCCAGATATGTGAAAATTGGACATGTGTTTGCAAAGGTACTTCAGATTCATGGATATGTCTTTATCTGTGCCTCCACCTCCAAATTACACTGACCTTAGCATCACAGTATCCCTGGTAACCTAAAATAGGGGTGTGGGGGGAAAGGGCATGTGTGTGTGTGTCTGTGCGTGTATTGGAAGCACTTCTGATATAGATTCAGCCTGGATCATCATCTCTGATAACAATTCCTTTCTTCAAGGGCAGCCCAGAAGTAGCGAATTATTTCTGTGTATTTACGATTATTCTGTACACGGTCTGGCTTGCTTTCCAATTGACAAACTTCCGCAAGCCAGACCAGACACCTTGAAGGTGAAGCTGTATTAAAAGCAACCTGATGGGAATTTCGTGGGTAATCAAGCTTAGTGTGTAATCTTCCCTAGTTGTCAAATTACTATTTCACCACTTCGGCAAATCCCTTAGAATGATCGGCCCTCATGGACAAGACTCATTCATAACATGAAAGGATGGTTCCCCTTAATCATGTAGATTTAAAACTCCATCCAATAGGGTTTTCTGTGCAGGAAGAAGCTTATCTCCTACCTACTTGGTGCCCTTGCTAACCTGGTAAAGAGCCCTATAATGTCACTATTGAAATTCTGGTGTTGGAAGAGATGAGTGCATTTCTGTTAATGCTAAATGTGAGAGCCAGTAGAATCACTCTCGTCCAAATATTTCCTTGGGCTACAAAATACATCTTGTACCTTATGAAATACTTGATAACGACCTCAGCTGAGTTGTAGTAGGATAATTTCTATGAAAACTGGGGGATTTCTTTTTCTTTAACAAAGCTTTGAAAGGTAAATAAATATACAAATGAAATAAAATGAAATGTAGCTAAGGAAAGCATAAACAAAGTTGGATTATTTTTGTATCCTAGGATGTCTTCCTCTTGATGCCCAAATCAAACCTACTTCATCTAAAGCTTTCTAATAGAACACTTATGTCATTCAGTTTTCCTACGTGAAGCCACAGTTTTCTTTGACTAATTATTTAGCCAAATAACTACAGGTAGAACTCAATTAACCAACTGAGTTTACAATGGTACGGCTGTCCCTAACATGAAAAGGAATCACAGCTACTACCAGTCCAAATGAATCATCAGACAGGCTTACATTCAAACAGACCAGCACCTGGCATTTAAAATTGTCTACCATTCATCTGATAAGGAATCTATAAACTCTGCATCTACAGATCCCCAGATCTATTTCATAGAAAAACACATATCTGACTAAAAATAGAAGAGCTCAAACCAATCCTCTATGAATCTGCACATTAAATGACTTCAAAGAATCTGGTTCAAGGTAGTCTGTTTTTTATTACAGTAGTATAACAAAAAATGCAACAGCACTTACGTCAGATATGCAAAAATACACTTTAAAAATTGACATTGTAATTTGAAACTTGACAGGTTTGAGTAGCTCTCTTAGAAAACTTCCTCTCACCTGTCTATCTCTCCTTAAAATAAAATTGAGATAACTTTGAGGCATCTCATACCCCATGTGAATATGATAAATTACCTTATACTACTAAAGACTATCATGCCCTCTATCTGAGTGATTAATTTACATCCTGCTCAGTGGTTTACATGCAATTACTATAGTGAGTCCAATGAACCTGAACAAGACAGAACTGGCTAGCCATCTGCATAAGCTCACTATATTTAGAAAAAGTATAGCAACATCCAGGAAGCTTAAACGTTTTAGTTCAGGTTTCTCTCAATGACTCCTGTACTGTATGTTTGGTAACAAAGTATAATACCGCTCCTAAGGACCACTGACTTTACTTGGAAACCACAGGATACAGTAATCTCTACTATGAGACAATGCTCATTAGAAAAGGTAGGACTAAAACGGTCATCTAAAAATGTCTTTGTTGAAATCTACTGGCAGATTTTAATTACATTAGCGGTTTTTTTTTTTTTCAGCATGTAATCTGCTTAATTCTGTAATGCCAAAGTCAAACACAAAGTAAAGCAAACACTAGCCTTTCAGACTAAATTGTGAACTTTAAATGTTTGGTGAACCAAAAGTCTAAGCAACCCTGTATCTTTGGAATGTGCTTTCCAAACTCTTCTCAATAAAACAAAATAAATATTTTAGCACTTGCATTAAGTACAGTTATATATCTCTTAATGATGGGGCTACATTCTAAGAAATGTATCCTTAAGCAACTGTACCATTGTTTGAATATCACAAAGTGTGTTTACACTAACCTAGATAGGAGAGCCTACCACACACCTAGGCTGTGTTGTACGGCCTATTGGGCAGCATGTTACTGTACTGAATACTGTGAGCAGTTATGACACAATAATATTTGTGTCTAAAATACACCTAAACTTAGAAAATGGAATGCTGTGTATTACTATGAGTCAGTAGGCAATAGGAATTTGTTAGCACCATTATAGTTTAATAAGACTGTTGTTGTATATGTGTTTTGTTGTTGATTGAACATTGCTATACACCATGTAGTATTCCCGGTGTCTCTCCTTAGGGCCCTTGACACTAGACTTATGTCTAGTCAAGACTAGCTGAAGTTAGAGCATTGTTCTTATTAAGGGAAGTGTTATCAACCAAAAGAAACAGTACTCTACTCTTACCAGGTTCTCACCGGATCATACCATCCCAATCCTGACATCTCCCAAATTCATTCACACTTTTTCTGGAAAAAATCCTGGGAAAATCCATACCATGTTACCTGGTACATAAAATAGGGAGAGTATATATTAAGGAAAAAAAACTTAGGTTTATGTTTTAATCATTTCAACTGAGTTGCATGTGATAAAACTGTGTTACTGCTCTCCAGTGCTATCACCAACAGTCTGAAAAACACATCAATTTAAAAGAGCACAGTCCCTGAGAATAGTTAGTATTTATGCATTTAATAACATTTACTAAGGGGCTCTATGGCAGATGCAGGAGACACCAGAAGGCCTAACAGACAAGGCACTCTCAGTTGGGCAGAGACAATGAAGGAAAACAAGGGCAGCTACAGGATCGTGTGGAAGGCAGACATACTTCAAAGAGCATTAACTACAAGATGGACCAAGGTTTGAGGTTTGGGTGGGGAAGACTAGCTTACAGGCGGTCCCTGGGTTATGAAGGAAAGAAATTCTACAGGTTTGTTCGTAAGTGGAATTTGCATGTTAGTGAGAACAGATAAATTTACCTGCTACTTCTAATAGCCTCCATTCTTAAATATGAGTCGCTCATCAGTCAGATGTTTGCAACTTGGGTACTGCACGCACACAGAGGAACGCATCACTATAGTGTGTTCAAACCCCAACGCGTTATCATGACAGGAAATAGTTATCCACTCCCTGGAGGCCTGACTGATTTCTTCAGTAACTTGGAAACTGATGCATTTTGTCTCACCTAACTCTCAGCACAGCTGAGGCCTACACCATTAAATACACCTAAAATAAATACATTTATTAAGAGTTTACCAAAGCCCTTCCTAAGAAAGCATCCATGATCAGCTGAACCTTTAGAATCACAACTTTGATGGAGAGGCAAAGCTAAGGTTTAAAAAAATAAAGAGGGGAGGTTAGACGTGGCAAAAAATGATGCTAAAGAAATAAAGGTGGTCATATGAGACCTTCTGTGCTATTATTGTCCAATTAAACTTATGAAAACATATCACTGTAAAAAAAAACAGTGCATGAGAGATGAACCAATGAATGCACATGGGAGGTAATGACTATATTAACGTGTTTGACTAAAGTAATTATTTCACTGTGTATGCATATGGACATACATACCTCAAACATATTCTATACCTTAAATATATACAACTTTAGAAGATATGCCAATGAATACATTCCACCATGAATTACTTGACGCTTCCTAAGCTCATTTTATTATTCAATTATTTAGAGAACCCACCCACCCTCTTTGTGTTAACAGCCTGCGTACACACACAAATATATATGCCGCTCCTCCACATCACTCAACAACATCTGTCAACGGGCACTTTAATGAGGAATTAAAATGTGTTTCCCACTGGTGCTGGGAGACCACACACTCAAAGATCTGGTGAGTCATTTTTGTTGAACTGAAAACACAGAGGACATTAAGTCCAAAGTTTAATAGCCACACAGATCAGGGCAAGTGTCCACCTCATCCCAGCATGGCTCCTTCACACCAAAGGGTCTGCAAAGCACAGTCCAGAGCCAGAAGGGGGCCTCCCCCTTATAGATCCACTTTCCATGGTGCAACTCGGAGGGTGGTGTCCCATGGTAGTCTGCTTTAAATTACTCTCTCCACAGTCAAATCAAAAGACTACCACTGACCTTAAAAACGTTTGTACCTATGCTTTGAGCTCAACAGCGTTTTGTCAGCAAATCAGGCAAAAAGGAATTCAGACACTAAGAGTGTATTTAAAGACCCAGTCGTGTTCCACATCCATAAACCTCAGCCCCCCCCCCCCCCGCCAGCCCAGTCCCTCCCTGGTCAAGGTTTTAGTAAAATCACTAGACAACGCAGCAGGAACAAGCTTTTGAATCCACAGGATTCACTCTCATGTGAAGATGTCCACCTACTGTGCCACACTCGGTGCTTGAGATCAATTTTTAATTACAGCAGCAGCAGCGATTGGGAGATAAAGCAGACAACATGCGGAGAAGGAACCAAAAGCCTGTTTATTGCCATTCCAGTCCACGAGCCAGATTTCGGAAGAGTGGGCCACAAATGACTTAACCAATCACAGCTCAAAAGGATGCTCTTACCTCTGGGATGTTTTCTTATATTTCCTCCTGCAGGAAAAGAAGCACAAACATATATCAGAAAAGGGGTTGTGTCAGGCAGTGGATAAAAAAGGGACTTCAGCAGGGATGAGCATGGAAGTCAATACTACCTAGGAGGTTCCCTCAGTGGAGAGTATGGGTTTCAAAGCTTAAGTAAAAAGTTCGGGGTTGTCGTGTTCTACTGTAGTCAAATGTATAGTTCCTACATCTTTATAGTCAAAAATCAGCGCATCAAGAGCTCAGCAGCTCTGTTCTTATGTTCCTCCCTTTCCCTTTTGAAAGTACTATAGCATCCTGGTTGAGATCAAGCTTTAAAGACAAGCAAGATGCAGGTTCAAATCTCAGCCCTTCCATTTACCAGGTCCATGGACTTGCTGCAGAGCAAATGAGCAGAGGCTTCTAAAGCATTTCTTTTGTCTAACATATATTAAATGGTCAATAATTATTATTTATATTGTCACTCTTATTCCCAACATCAACACTGAGGTTCCTTGAAGGATGTGACTTTTTCAATGTAAATGTGTAATCATGCAGCTAAACCATGAGATCAGAGGTATTCTTCAAAGAATAAAGAAATGGCAAAAAGACAATGAGAAAGTCTATAAGGAAATGGGGGGGGGGCATTAGGAACTGGGCTCAGGTGAGCGTTTCCCCAGGAAGCAGGAGAGGCCCAGTGCCAGCCCACCTCTGCAATTTACAGTGTCATTGAGACGTGGGCAAATCTCTTCTGCATTTGGCCTCTTAATCTAACAAATGGTGATGGTTACATTTGCTGTGACCATCTCACCTAGGTCATGGTGGCATACAAGTGGAAAATGGCCACAAAAGTATGTTGCCCCGATATCCCAATGTTCTTCATGATTTAGTAGACTCTGAAAGTTATTAAAAAGTCTCAGTAGGCTCTTCACTGGGGACGATTAGAGGAAAGGTAGTGCTGAGAAAGGAATCAAGTATCTCCAGGAAGGGCAACACTTCCCAACTGTCTGTAGTTCCACACCTGTGTTTCCATTATAGTCACTGCACCTGGGAAACCAAGCCACCAATTTGCTAAGGAGAGCTGGAAGCCACGGGGAGGGGGGGTGGTTTATAATATGAAAAAAGGTATAGGAGTTTCAAACTCAAATCACTACAGCCTGTGACATCTCTGTTAAAGAGAAAACACACATGGCAGCATTAGATGTTTCAGTGAAAGAGGCAGCATGTAACACAGAACCTGGCTATGTGCAAACAACCATTTCTCCACAAGGAGATGCATCAGACTAACAACCATGATTCCAGGATAGGAGGCTCACAGACCACTTCTTTTATGTTTACTTTTATGAATTTTCCATATCTTCTTAAAGAATGAGCATTATGATTATAATTAGAAAAAAATTATAAAAATAAGTGCATATATGCCTAGTCACATATGTAGATACACACATACTTAAGAATCTATAGATAGGCAGATAGATATTGAATGTGTTTGAATTATATCACATAGAATAGGGAAGAAGAATGACAAGAGAGTGGGTTAAGGCTTGGGCTGTAAAGCAAACTGTCCGTGTTCCAATCTTGGCTCTACTTAGCTCTACAGTGTTGGACCAGTTATTCAACCCGTCTTAGCTTCAGTTTCTTTCCCTATAAAGTAGGAATAATTAGAGCACCTCTACAGACCATGTTACAAGAAATAAACGAGACAATTCACCCGAATTTCAGCTGCCTATGGTCAGGTTCTTTGTGTGGTTTTCCTGTACTCCCTCCTGAAGCTGTGATGGATGAGCCCTCATCATTCACTCTCTCTCACCTGGGCCCTGTCACCAGTGGCAGTTCACACTCTCCAGGAAGTAGCCAAGAGCAGGGGTTTCATCCACAGGCACAGAGCACATGGATATGATTCCTGCCCTTTGCCACATGAGCAGTGTGGTCTAATAAACTCATTCAAGGAGCATCCGACAAGGCTGAAAAATAACGTATTTAAGAGTGTGAAGGGACCAAAGGCAAGAGACAGTTAGGCCAGATGGATGACCCTGGCTTCTAATCAGAAGTCTAACTAATCCTGTGAGTGGAGGGTGTCTTCGGGGGTCAGAAGAAAACAATCTTTACTACTGGCTTCCCCAGAATTCTCCCAGCATTTACCAAAGGACGATACAAAGGCACTGCTGGGAGTGCTAAAAGAATCAAAGATGAACAAAACTAAGAAAAGGCTTCATTTCATCACCTACCACTACTAAGTCTACGTGTATTTCTAACCCGTACAACTCTGCAAGATCCACTTCCTGAATGCACCTAAAGCATTAATTTATAACAACAAATACAAGAGTGGCTCAGGGAAGCTTCGTGGAAGGGGCAGTCTTGATTGATGGGTGGAATTTCAACAGGGAGAACTAGGGAAGCCTACAGCAAGCAAGCAAAGCAAGCAGGCCTAATGGCCGCCAACCAGACCAGCAAGTAGGGCCTATGCAGTGAGATAGCAGAAGGTAAGGCAGAAGAGTACTAACGACAGAGTTAAGCAAAAAAAGTAATAAAATTTATATTTTCAGAAAAAAGTTGATAGCTAGGTGGGGAGGGGTCACCCCTTATGGGAAGCAGCTGCACACACCCTCCTGTGCTCTTACAGCATGCGGGAACCTATCACACCCCGTCCTTGGCCGCACTGCATGGTCACATGTCTGTGACTGTGCGGAAGGACAACAGGGCTCTGGACCAGGCTTAAAACCCAACTTCACCCTCTCTAGCCATGAGACAACAAGCCAGCTCTGTGCTAAATAAGCTTTAGTTTCCATATCCAACATGGATAGAATCATCTCAGATGAGATAAGGTATTAAACTTGCCAGGCAAGGCACTGCCATGTGAGAACATTTGCCCCAGTTTTGAGCTTCTGGTTAGGGGTCCTGTCATGTGGATCTCCCTATCTATCCCAAGGGTTTGTATGTCAACTGGCACATGTTTGGCATGCAACAAATATCTGTTGGCTAAATCAATGAATTCTTTGCAGCTGTCATCTATGTCTGGGCAGAAGACAGGTTGTACATCTGGTAGACCCAAAGAAACAGACCAGAACTCTGATTTTCAGACCAACTCAACCTTCCTGACACTTCCTTCACAGATGCATTCCTGGCTTCATATGTTACAAAGTTTTTCCTTTCCATCTTGTCTCATTTAGATACGGCCCCCAAACCAAGGCAGACTCAATCCAAATAGTGTCACCTTACACTGAAGCTTGGAGGTCAGCACTTAAGCATGAGAGAAAATGCCACTCCATGGAAGTGACTCTACTCAAGAATCAACTCTGAGGTCATCTTGCCTGGGCAAGGATGGTGAGGCGTGGCTGAGCTCAACTCATCCTTCAGTTCTCAGCTGAGGCATTCCTTCCTCCCTAAGACTTCCTCAGGTCCCCTACACTGGATAACACCCATTCTGTGCATCCTAGGTCATTGCACTTGTGACTAGTAGTGGTTATTATCTGTCATGCTGATGGCAAGAACCACGGCCTGTCCACTATCTGCTAGAGTTTCTCCCTTGCCTAATATATAATGTTTGTCAAATGGCAGCTGTTCAGTACTGTTGTTGTTGAAGGCATGAGTGGATTTACCAGAAATTGATCCCCTAGATGATATCTTTTAACTCTTTTCCCTCTGACATCTGTAATAGATGTCCTCACTGCTCATAGTAAACCTTTGAACACTGGTCTACTATGAGCAGTGAGGATTTCTACCACAGCCGTGGTTTCCTGCACCCTCTTGTGTAAAGCAATGAGGAAGGCCAGAGAGCTCCTGATTGTCTGGGAAGCAGCTCCTCTGCTCCACATCCATCATTAAACTAACTCATTTAGACCTCCTACAACCCTTATCAGCTTTAATTCACTTTGTACTGGACAGAAGTAAATCTTAGAGAGGTTGAATAACTTGCCTAAGGATACAGAACCTCACAGTGGCTAAGACAGAAAGCAGATTCTGAAGCCTTCAAAGAAAATTGAGAAAATTATACAAAGAGGTCAAAGGTTGCCACCAGGAAACTCAGACACCAGACAAAAACAAACAAAACCAACAACAATCAAACATACTAACAGACCGGTTCTTTCCACGCAAATGCAGGAAATGAGGTGGAAAAGAAACCCAGCTTTTCTTGGCCTTTTGTTTTTAAGAACTACAATGAATGTATCCCTGACTCACACCTTGAAAGATAATGGGAATGTTCTCAAATGCTTGGTTTCGTTTTTCAAACTTAATTTAAATTTATAATTTTTTTGAAATGAAACAATGCAGTACAAATCTCAAGATTCAAGGAGCTAGACTGAGCTGATGGAGAAAGCAGAGAAGACCCAGGAGCTGTTGTACTCTGAGACGTGGAGATGGAGGGAGGCCAGCTTCATGCCTGGGTGGAAGACAGGTCAGCTTCACAAGGCCAGGATGAGGAAACTACCTCAAAGAAGGTCTAGAGTGGGACCCTGCAAACTGTGTTACCCAGAACGGGCCTCATCCTTCACCCACACAAACACACACACGCACATGCACGTACACACGCATGCACACACAGCTTCATTTGCCTGTCTGTGTTTGTTTTTTTCAAGGAGAGGCCATTACAGTATATTGTTTATGATCACTTGCCTGGGCTCAAATTCCTTCTCCAACTTACTGTGTCCAAGAAGTTGCCTAACCTTTAGCAATTTCTATCACTTCTCCAACCATGAGTTTCCTCATCTGTAAAATCTGCATATTATACTCCCTCCACAGAGAGGGAGTTATAGCATTATAACTATAATATTCTAATATTATAAAAGTACTATAATTTAAAACACTTTTCCAATTTTATTTGGAAAAGAAAAAGCCTTTCATTGATTAAACTCAAGAAAAAAAGGTTGAAGAGGGCTTTTCTAGAATGGAAAAATTGAACACACCCCATTCGCCTTACCTTGGAACACGTGAACTGCAAAGAAAGCAGGTACAATCTCAGTTTTACTAGAAGAGAATGAGCTGAAACCCAGTCCAGCTTTCCCCCATGCCCAAGGGACTCTGTGGTGTCTACA